TTGTAATCCACATTAAGTAACAATATGCGGCGGTAGTTCTTAAGCTGAGTCTTTTCAGTCTCTGTCTTCGGTATAAGTGTAATGTACGCCTCTTTCCAAGACTCTGGTGCCCTTTTCCCTTCCAATATTTCATTGCAGACTTCCTTTAAAGGTTGTAATAGCCACTCTTTCAAAGATCTATAATATCTAGAAGTCAGCCCATCCGGTCCTGGAGATTTGGAGGCAGCAGTGCTTCTCAATACCAGTTGCTGGAAACCATAGCAGTGGAAAATGCTGTTTTCCTTGGCTGTGGATGACTGGTAGCCAAAGATTGGCTCGGTTCAACCAAGGGCACCTGAGCCTCAACTGGCAAACCTGGATCAAGGAATATCCCAATTCTGCGAACTTGATCTGTCAAATAGAGTGCAAGCTCCATCCAAAGCAGATTGAGGCCATTCCTCTTGGATCAGAGGACTATCCACCCACAGGTCACTCTGGTCCATGACCGAAATACAGTGGTACCTCGGGTTACAGACACTTCAGGTTACAGACACTTCAGGTTACAGACTCCGCTAACCCAGAAATAGTACCTTGGGTTAAGAATTTTGCTTCAGGATGAGAACAGAAATTGCACGGTGGCGGCGCAACAGCAGTGGGAGGTCCCATTAGTTAAAGTGGTGCTTCAGGTTAAGAACAGTTTCAGGTTAAGAACAGACCTCCGGAATGAATTAAGTTCTTAACCCAAGGTACCACTGTAAATCAATTCATTCGTATCCACCCACAGGGCCTCTGTCTTCTACATCTGACTCTTTCTCACAGCACGAGAGACCCACAAACCATCTTCCTCTTCGAACAACGTTATGCTTCGCATTGATGTGGAGGCCTTCAGAGACACCTCTGAGGAATCTTGAATGAGATGATAAGACTGGGAAAGCTTTCTGGATTTGGGAGTAGGGGTTGGTAGAGAAGAGGAGAGAAACAGCAGGTCTAGGAAAGGCTGACTGGGATCCAAGACAGCAGCTGCCTGTCAGTGTTGGCAGCATAGCACAGATAGGCCGAATACAGGACAGCCCTGGTTAATCTGAATTCAAACCCAGTCATCTCACGCTCCCATTGCATGCCTCCCCAATTTTCTCTTGCAGTTATGTATTTAACATATCAGAGCTCCAAACTGCTCCAGCTGGGATTGAGGAGTGCTCTGAAGTGTCAATCCCAATGTCTTTCCTAAATGTGCTGAAATGGTGATAATTAATTCCATCTGTCCATCTTTGCATTATTATTTTTTTAACGAAAAACCTCTTGCAGCTTCAAGAGCTGTTGACATATGAATATTCCAAAATCTGTAGATGTCTGTCCGTTTTCAGTGCTTCTCCACAAACACAGAAGTTGCTTTTTATTTTTATTTTGACATTTCTCTCTTTACTCCATATACATGTGCCCCCCAAATGAGGGAGGAGTGTTTGTTTCATTCTTCAGTAGTGATCGCCTTGGTCATTTGGCATTTTCTTCCATGCTAATTGACTTCCCTTCGTAAGAACATTTGTTGCAGAAACAAAGGCTGTAGTGTGTTTCAGGATGCTGAAAAAACGTCTCTTAATGATACTGCTGGTCCCGTTTTCCCTTTAAACGACTGCTACTGAGTTTTGATCCATGTAAGAAGGGATCTCTTGCAAAATCAAACAATGATCATATACTTTCCTGTGACAATTAGAGAGCAAGTAAGGCACTGTGGGTTAAACCACAGAGCCTAGGACTTGCCGATCAGAAGGTTGGCGGATCGAATCCCCGCGACGGGGTGAGCTCCCATTGCTCGGTCCCTGCTCCTGCCAACCTAGCAGTTCGAAAGCATGTCAAAGTGCAAGTAGATAAATAGGTACCACTCCGGCGGGAAGGTAAACGGTGTTTCCATGTGCTCTGGTTTCTGTCATGGTGTCCCATTACACCGGAAGCAGTTTAGTCCTGCTGGCCCCATGACCCGGAAAGCTGTCTATGGACAAACACCGGCTCCCTCGGCCTGAAAGCGAGATGAGCGCCACAACCCCATAGTTGCCTTTGACTGGGCTTAACCGTCCAAGGGTCCTTTATCTTTACCATTGAATCATATACAGTGGTACCTCAGGTTACAGGCGCTTCAGGTTACAGACTCCGCTAAACCAGAAATAGTACCTTGGGTTAAAACTTTGCTTCAGGATGAGAACAGAAATCGTGTGGTGGCAGCGCAGCGGCAGCAGGAGGCCCCATTAGCTACAGTGGTACTTCAGGTTAAGATCAGTTTCAGGTTAAGAACAGACCTCCAGAACGAATTAAGTTCTTAACCCGAGGTACCACTGTAATTGGAAGAGAATCCCAAGCATCATCTAGTCCACCCCCCCTGCAATGCAGGAATCTCAGCTAAAGCATCCCTGACAGATGGCCATCCAACCTCTGCTTGAAAACCTCCAAGGAAGGAGAGTCCACAATCTCCCAAGGGAGTCTATTCCACTGTCAAAAAGCTCTTACTGTCAGAAAGTTCTTCCTAGTGTTAAGTTAGAATCTCTTTTCGTGTAACTTGAACCCTCTGGAGCAGGAGAAAACAAGCTTCTTCCCTCTTCCATGTGGCAGCCCTTGAGATATTGAATAGTGTATGCGAAATAAGCAGCGTCCAAGGATAAATATTGAAACCATGGGAGGGGAGGGCTGGAAATCAATGGATAAAGCAATTTGCTGTCTTTTTGGTTCTGTTTCTTCTTTGGCTTTTTTGCGTGTGAAAAATTAATAAATAAGATTTACAAAAAAGAAAAGTTAAATGCTTTAGTCATATAGGAAAGGTGTGCAGAGAATCCTGAGGTCATCACCAAACTTCAAACTCACAGGTGACCTGCTAACTTCGTGCTCTTTTGCAATGAGTTTCTGATTATGATTTTTTAAAAAAAATAAAAATCAAAACTCCAACCCAGGTGGCTTTTTTAAAATCACATTTGCAGCATTCGTAGTTAGGTATCAAGAGATTATCCCTTTAATAGAGCCCCACACCTGGCTGTTTAATAGAGGTCACCAGCCAAATCAGGTGGAAAAAGCTTAGGTTGCCATATGGAGGTGTAGCCGATTTAGAGCGAAGTGAATCCTTGCTTTGGCCGCAAATGTGTGGAAAATGGGACTAAATTAAGTTGCCTCAGCCCTTTCACCGCCACAAACTGATATAAATTGGTTTCATTAAAAATCCCTAACATATTTTAAAGCGGCAGTCCTAACCTATTACGTTTCGTGCCATCGCCGAAAGCTACCAGCTCGGTGGCATTTTGTGTAGAAAATGAACAAGGGACAAATAGAATTTTATTGCTTTCTAAATGAAAAGCCGGGATAGTCTGAGAATAAAATTGATTTTTCACATCCGGGGAAGAACGTTCTCTATCCCAGCCACCCACCCAGTCTATGCTTCTTATCATTCATTCTCAATCTCTCTCTCCCTCTCTTAAAAAATTAAAAAGTTCCTCTTGTTTTCTACTTAAGTTTCCAAACCAGATGTGTAATTCCATTGAATAGTTGAAGCAAAAATTTGGACCCTAAGGGCCATCTACTCCAACCCAGCCCCCAGCTATATTCCTTTGCTTCTCTGCTACGTTTAGACGCCTCTTGTCATTGTTGAGATGTTGGGCCTGTCAGGGGGAAACTGCTCCCAAATGTCCCAAATCACAATGATCATGTGCAAAACGTACGGTTTTCCCCCCCTTTGCTATTTCATTTATTTGATTTCATTTGCTAATTGCTTCGCATAACAGCATGGGTAGGCAAACTTAGGCCTGGGGGCTGGATCCGGCCCAATCGCCTTCTAAATCTGGCCTGTGGAAGGTTCAGGAATCAGCATGTTTTTACATGAGTAGAATGTGTGCTTTTATTTAAAATGCATCTCTGGGTTATTTGTGGGGCATAGGATTCCCCCCCCCTTCAAAATATACTCTGGCCCCTGACAAGGTCTGAGGTACAGTGGACTGGCCCCCTGCTGAAAAAGTTTGCTGACCCCTGATACATATTCTGTTTACTTATTTCACTTTTCCTCCACCTTTTCAAGCCGAATGTGACATTCATCTTTCCTTCCCATTTTTCCGCACAACAACCCAAAGAGTGAGGTTAGGCTGAGAGTCTGTGACTGGCCCGAGGTCATCCAGTAATAATAATAATAATAATAATAATAATAATAATAATAATAATTTATTATTTATAGCCCGCCCATCTGGCTGAGTTTCCCCAGCCACTCTGGGCGGCTCCCAATCAAGTGTTAAAAACAATACAGCATTAAATATTAAAAACTTCCCTAAACAGGGCTGCCTTTAGATGTCTTTTAAAGATAGGATAGCTGCTTATTTCCTTCACATCTGAAGGGAGGGTGTTCCACAGGGTGGGTGCCACTACCGAGAAGGCCCTCTGTCTGGTTCCCTGTAACCTCACTTCTCGCAATGAGGGAACCGCCAGAAGGCCCTCAGCGTTGGATCTCAGTGTCCGGGCTGAACAATGGGGGTGGAGACGCTCCTTCAGGTATACAGGACCGAGGCCGTATAGGGCTTTAAAGGTCAGCACCAACACTTTGAATTGTGCCTGGAAACGTACTGGGAGCCAATGTAGGTCTTTCTGGGCCGGTGTTATGTGGTCTCGGCGGCTGCTCCCAGTCACCAGTCTAGCTGCTGCATTCTGGATTAGTTGTAGTTTCCGGGTCACCTTCAAAGGTAGCCCCACATAGAGCGCATTGCAGTAGTCCAAGCGGGCGATAACCAGAGCATGCACCACTCTGGCAAGACAGTCTGCGGGCAGGTAGGGTCTCAGCCTGCGTACCAGGTGGAGCTGGTAGACAGCCGCCCTGGACCCAGAATTAACCTGCGCCTCCATGGACAGATGTGAGTCCAAAATGACTCCCAGGCTGCGCACCTGGTCCTTCAGGGGCACAGTTACCCCATTCAGGACCAGGGAATACTGACCAGGTCAGTATTGTCTACACTGACTGGCAGCAGCTCTCGGGTTTCAGATAGGGAGTCTCTGCCAGCCCTACCTGGAGATGCTGGGGATTGAACCCAGAACCTCCTTCATGAAAGTCTGGGGCTCTACCATTGAGCTACAGCTATTTCCAAATGTCACAGTTCAAGGATACGTTCAAGCCAGGCAAAAGCATTTGCAGAGGGTGCAGAGTGGGTGTGGCAAGGGGTGTGGCCCATTGAGACTCTCAAGGGCCAGGTAGAGAGGCCTCAGGGGGCCAGAGGTTCCTCACTTCATAGTTAGTGTCTGAGTGGTGCGGAGATCTACCAGGGGCTCTGATTTCCTGGCTCCTTGTCCGATGGGAGTCATGATCTGGGCAGGTCTGAAGCTTGACATTTTGGAGAAATTTAGGACAATGGAAAAGGATGCATAGCTTCATGTAGGCTGCATTAATGCAGCAGTTTATTTCACTTTGATGACTATCTGAATGCTCTTGTTGTTGTTTAGTCATTTAGTCGTGTCTGACTCTTCGTGACCCCATGGACCAGAGCACGCCAGGCACTCCTGTCTTCCACTGCCTCCCGCAGTTTGGTCAAACTCATGCTGGTAGCTTTGAGAACACTGTCCAACCATCTCGTCCTCTGCTATCCCCTTCTCCTTGTGCCCTCCATCTTTCCCAACATCAGGGTCTTTTCCAGAGAGTCTTCTCTTCTCATGAGGTGGCCAAAGTATTGGAGGCTAAGCTTCATGATCTGGCCATCCAGAATGCTCTACCAATGAGCTATGGCCCTTCAGCAAAGGCAGGACCTGTCTGATATGTAAAAGGAATAGAGCTCCATATCCTTAAAAAGAAGGAAGGAAGGAAGGAAGGAAGGAAGGAAGGAAGGAAGGAAGGAAGGAATCTAATTGTATTGTTATTATTTTGCTTAATTTGTTCCTCACCTTTCAACCTGCATCGTGAGACACACAAGGAAACCTACAGTAAGACCTCCACAACCTGCACACTCCCATTTCCCCTGACATTCGTCAGCAAGGCAGAGTCAGGAGGAGTTTCCGTTCATCTCTTAGATCTTCGACTGTGTTGACAAAGTTTATTCTGCATGACTGCTTATCCATCGGATTCACAGGCTGTATAATTACCCACGCCGATATACCCTCCGAAATTCTATTCAGCCCGCCGCAAACACAAGACAGCAAGGATACTTCCCACACACCTCCCTTCTGAAATTAATGGTGCATTTGAGTTTATGCACGGCGACATCATTTGAATCAGCATGAAGCCAATTCTTGCAAGAGAAAGAACGTAAAGAGCAATTGTTAAGAGAAAGAATTCAGTGGATTAAATATTAAATAGCTACTCTTAGGATCCAAACGCTCTTAATTACAATGATCAGAGAAGAAGGCTGAGTATGCCTCCCCAGTGGAGTTTGCAATATGGGTGTGAGCCAAATGTAGAATTCAGTTTGTACCCCAATTCAGCAGCTTGGGAAATGGTCCAGTTAAAATTGGGCTGCTTGGGAGAACATTGACTTGTGTGGTTCTGGTTTAGTCATGTCCGACTCTTCATGACCCCATAGACCAGAGCACGCCAGGCACTCCTGTCTTCCGCTGCCTCCCACAGCTTGGTCAAACTCATGTTTGTAGCTTCAAGAACACTGTCCAACCATCTCGTCCTCTGTCGTCCCCTTTTCCTTGTGCCCTCAATCTTTGTGCCCTTGCTCCTTCATGGATCACTGCCTTGTTGTGGTGAAGGGGCTTGAATAACTCAGAGCAGCTATGAACTATGCTGTGCAAGGCCACCCAAGATGGACAGGTCATAGTGGAGAGTTTTAACCAAACATGATCCACTTAGAGCAGGAACCGGCAAGCCACTCCAGTATCCCTGCCAAGAAAACTCCATGGGCAAAGACAACAGGCATTGACTTATACCAAGGTCTGAATCAGAATTTCATTTGGGAAATTCAAGCCTTTTCATCTATTCACAATGATAGGGAAAGGGGGAGGAAACAATTAACTTTTGTACTTCTTAATATATATTCATATGAAATGTGTAGAGAATTTACTGTGCAGATAAAATCAGTCACATTTCAGGAAAATAGGTGCATGGGGTTTTGCACTGGGTGCAATGGGTCAGTGCATCTTGTTGTTAACCAGAAGTTTGGTGGTTTGAGCCCATCCAGGGACAACTGTAGGCACGATTCCTGCATTGCAGGGAGATGGACTAGCTAGATGAATGAATGTGTGTGTGTGTGTGTGTGTGTGTAGGCAGAAATGGATGGATTTTGCAGCCATGTTAGCCCTGTGGAGAGGATAAATACCCCCAAATTTCAGAATAATAGGGACAGTGTTTTTTCCTTCAAGGACATCCTTTAAAGGGTTGGGGATATGTTAGGGAGGGGAGTAGGATAAGGGCCCTTCTAGATCAGTCCAAAAACCTATCTAGGCCCGCATTCTATTCTCACAGTGACCATCGAGATGTTTAAAGAAAGCCTGCAAGCATCATATGAGTGCAATAGCGCTCATACTCATGGATTCAGTTACTGTATCTCCCATCTACTGTGTGGTGGGCAGCTTAATGAAAATATCATACAAATGGAGGTGACACTACATAAGAAATCTGGCAAATTTTAGATGTCTGGGTGTGCTAAACACCATTAAATTTTATTTAGGGAGAGAACTAAACAGGAGTTTGCTTACCTCCCCATGTGACGTCTTTTTCTGGTGGGGGAGGGGATCTTAAAAATGCATATGGAAACAGTATACATAATGGGGAGTCAATGTGGTGTTCCAGATGTCCTTGGGCTACAACTCCCATCATCCCTGACCATTCACCATGATGCCTGGGGTTGATGGGAGTTGTAGTCCATCAACACCTGTAGAGCACCATATTGGCATGCATCATAGAGGTGCCCCTAGGTAAATAGTGTAGACATTTTCAGGAGGATTTGGCAATGGGGTAAGGAGCGCTAATGAATAAAAATGGGGGTTGGGGCAGTTCTGCTCAACTGAGAGTGTGCAAGTTTCTTACATCTGCATCCTTTCCAAAAGCACTGTGATGCAGAACCCTGAAGAGGATATTTACTGGCTAGAAGCTAGAGCTGTCTGTCAGAAAACCACACCCCTCCTCTGTCCCTGTGCTTTTATGGAGACCTTGAAGGAATGTGGTGCATTACATAGATATGTAGATGGCATCTGCATTCTCTGAGGTGATCCCAGGCCTTTGGAGGAAGCCCTGTTTGTTGGTTCAGGACACTTTGGTGGAAAGTGTCAGGGCAAAGGAATGATGGAGACCACCTCCCCATCCTGACCTTTCCAGGGAGGAAGAAGAGGAAGACAGTATAGATTTACAAGGGTGGGTTGTGGGAGGTCACAGCTCAGAAGAAGATGAGGGAGAAAACTGGGAAATAATGGGAGAGCCAGAGCAACACCCTGCTGACACGTTGTCATTAGAAAGCATCACAGACCCTCCATCTCCCATAACCCAGAGAGCCTTAAAAGTAGGAGAGCAAAGAGCTCAAAGACAGAGGTCGCTTAGTGGCACTTGTAGAGGAGGTGCTGATGATGACGAATGAGGAAGAGAGAGATGGGACAACACCATTATCCAAGAGGCTGGGTTCTATAACCTCTCTGTGTAAAGACTGAAATAAAAAAGGACGGTAAGAAACCTTTCCTTGTCTTTATACAGCATCCCTGGCAGGGAGATACCTTTGATTCTGCCCAAGTCAGCTCAGGACTTGGGATGTGTCCGAACCAAATGCACACTCCTGGTTTACAGTGATAACTAAAGTCACAACTACCCTACCCTACGAATAAAAACAACACTACAAGCAGGTATAAATGTTTCAAAGAAATGTTGTAAAAGCTTGTTTTGAAAGCCATCAGGGATGGGTTCTTGTTTTTTAACCTCTTTTCGTGAGGCCATTCTCCAACCTAGGCCGGCTGCTCATCTCTGCTCTGAAGCACCTTTTACACAGAAGAAGAAGCCAGTGACTCAGTCCCAGAGTTCCTCTTCTGTCTTTCACCTCCCCTGCTCCTAATCTCATCTCCCCTTGTCCTAGCAGAGTAAGGGCTCCCTTCCCCATGCCCAACCTTCCATCGCAGCTCCCACCTGCATCCTTTTGACAGCCTCGATGGGCATAACTGGGACACTCAGATCTCTCCCATATCGTCATTCAGCCCAAAGGCTCTTCAGTTGCATTCTGAAGAGGGGCTAAGGAGAATGGCTCACATGGCATCAATAGAGAGAAGGCGGGGAAGGGGGTGAATTGTGAGAGCCTCGGAATGGTTTCTCAATTCAGCTGCAGCTGGAGACTATTGTGTTTGTTGTTCCTTCAGCGTCATTCATTTCCTTGCATTTCTGCTAATTCCCCACTTTCGAAGGGTGAGTGTTGCAATACACTTAAAAAGAAAAAAAGGAGCTCAACAGAGAAGATTCTGGGGACTTTTTCGTGCCACTTGCTCCTGAAGACGCCTGCCATGGGCTGGCCGATGCAGATGTAAGATCAGCAAAGGACCCAGGGGACGACTGCAGCAAGATGTAGCAGCCTCTGTTGGAAGTGGGGCAGTCTTCTATAAAGGATCCTCAACTCACTCTGTTGTCTCAACCCATGTCCATGGCAAGAGTAATAATAATAATAATAATAATAATAATAATAATAATAATATAATATTATTTATACCCCGCCCATCTGGTTGGGTTTCCCCAGCCACTCTGGGCAGCTTCCAACCAAATATTAAAAACAATACAGTATCAAACATTTAAAACTTCCCTAAACAGGGCCTCCTTCAGTTGTCTTTTAAAAGTAAAATAGTTCCCTATTGCCTTGACATCTGCTGGGATGGTGTTCCACAGGGCAGGCACCACCACCGAGAAGGCTCTCTGCCTGGTTCCCTATAACCTCACTTCTTGCAGGGAGGGAACTGCCAGAAGGCCCTCAGGGCTGGACCTCAGTGTCCAGGCTGGACGATGGGGGTGGAGACGCTCCTTCAGGTATACAGGACCGAGGCCATTTAGGGCTTTAAAGGTCAGCACCAACACTTTGAATTGTGCTGGGAAACATCCTGGGAGCCAATGAAGGTCTTTCAGCACCAGTGTTATATGGTCTCGGCGGCCACTCCCAGTCACCAGTCTAGCTGCCACATTCTG